GTTTAGTTAAAGATGGCGTCAATATTGCCATATCAATTTGAGCCGGATTCAGACCCCGAGAATATTGAACAAGAGGAACGCGCAGAACCTTTGCACGCACGGATATTGCAAGACATATTCGAGTGGTAACGTTATTGTTTTTTTGTTTTTTTTTTGCTAAATCACGTTTTAGATAGGATGTCAACAACCGCTTAAAAATAACTGCATTTACTATGTACAGATAAGTGCATATGTATTATTTTTATTTTAATGCTGTAGTCCAAACGAGCCGTTCGTTGTAGTTCTTGAAAAGGGATTTTTTTTAAAACGAAATATCTCCCTTTGGAGTGGACTTTGAGATTTGTAAGTTTTTTATGCCCAAACATACACACTACACACTGACTAAAATTCAAAAAGTGAAAAAGCATAATAGGACCCCTTTAAAATTCATTTATAAGACTATACTTTTATCTAGGTATTACATTTCAGAAAACAAGTTAATGCCACTGTGTGAGTGTTTTTAACGATGTGATGGCAAATTTGACATATTTGTGAATTTTATTTTTTGCTATTCTGATCAAATGGAATTCAAAAAAGAACTATGATGAGTTCTGCTGCTGAGAATGCAAGTAGGGGGCATTCTTGTGTTCCAGAAAAGGTCATCTAGCTTCTGACAGCTTGTCAAAATTATGGTAAAACTTCAAGTTATGAATACTGTACAATTTATTCATTTTACCTTTTTTGCACTGATGATGAAGAATAGTTACCAAGCTTGCCCGAAAATACTATTCTTTTAACCAGTTTATGAGAAGCGTCTACATTTCCCATCATTTGGAGCAGCACGAGAATGATGAAATACATAATATAATAATTTCAGTGTAGGATATTGCTTTGCAAATAAAGCATGTCAGAGTGCTGAACAAAAGAGAAGGGAAACTATGTCTGCAGATTGGCCTGCTGGTACATAAAAGTTTTAAGACATCTCTTCACTTTTTGCTAGCAGTAAAGCTTCCTGTCTTGGTGGGAACAGAAAAAGATAGAAATTAAAAATGGTTTAACAAATCCAGTTTATTCTGACCATGATGACGCACATGTCAGAAAGTGTCTCAATACCACAGCATTTGTAGTTTCAGTTATTATTTTAATAACACAGCAAAAGCTAACTTGCTTTTTAATACACTCCTTTTACCAATTTTATTTAACTATTATTTGAAGTTATTAGTTAGAATTAAAGTTATTATATATAATCATTATATTATTAATAAGGCTAATAATTATAAATAATAGAATGTAATGCAATATCAAAATAATGTATGTAATGCAATATCAAAATAATACTGTAAAAATACAGTAAAATGGTAATACTGAGAAATATTATTGTAATTTAAAATGTTAAAATAACTGTTTAATAAAATAACCGTTTTCTGTTAACTGTTAAATAAAATAACTGTTTTCTGTTGTAATATGTTTAAACATTTTATTCCCATTTTGGCAAAGCTGAATTTTCAGCATCATTACTCCAGTCTTCAGTGTCACATGTTCAAAATCTCATTTTTCAAACCTCAAGAAACATTTCAGATTATTATCAATGTATTATCAATGTATTATCAATAAAAGCAGTTGTATTGCTTAATATGTTTGTGGATTTTTTTTAGGATTCTTTGAATCAAAAGGTTGATAAGAACAGCATTTATTTAAAATATAAATCTTTTGTAACTTTATAAATATCTTTACTGTCATTCTTGCTGTATAAAAGTATTAATAAAAAAAAAATCTGACTGACCCCATATTTATTACACGGGTAGTGTTTACCATCATTTACCCACTATTAAAATTTCAAACGTTGAATGGGATTTAACTTTTAAGGACCCTTAAATATAATGTACACTGAAACTAGTTTCCTTGCTCCCCTGCACACTGAAAGATGTTTGTCCACTCCTGTGTTTGATGTGGGGAGTTTCTGTTGGTGTTGGGGAGCTGACTGTGAAGTGTATCTGTCTTCTTCCACTGCTGAACGCTTTGCTGTGTGGAATAAGCTCATCTGATGTTGTCTCTCCCTGTGTCCGCCGCATACACCTCCTTCAGAGCGCTCAGCGGCTTCCCAGCGTCTCGTAACCCATTTGAACTCCTCTGTTTTCAGTTCCTGGTGGGGATGCGGGGCAAGGACGAGGCCATGGCCATCGGGGGTCACTGGTCTCCCTCTTTGGATGGAGCCGACCCGGAAAAAGATGCCTCGGTCCTTATAAAGACAGCCATACGTTGTTGTAAGGCTCTGACAGGCATTGATCTGAGTTTATGTACCCAGTGGTAAGTACAGCTCCTTTCTCTGTCTGTGCCGATGCATCTCCTTGTAATCTCCATGTGTGCATCTTTTACTATTTAAAAAATGTAAAAAAAAAAGGCCGACAGGCAGACAACATCTAAAAGTCTGTGATCCGCTGCATGGTTTTGACACAGCAGTGTGTCTCCTGACACGTTCAATGCTTTTGTGTTCATAATTTTGATTTCTCAAATTTTGTTTTGCAATGTTTACGGTAATGTGTGTGGCAGTCCTGCCTCTATATCTATGTGGTGAATGCATTGATTATTTTGCTCCGAGAGCAGAGCCAGAGGAGTCGCCGCCACCACCATTGTTACTTTCTGTTCTCTCTGACCTTTGCCTTGTGTTAAATATCTTACATATTTAACTTGCTTTCACTGTGTCTGAATCTGTCCTTCTCTCACACCCCCGGGGGTTCGTAAGCCATCTTTCACGAGCAACCGGTTCAGATTGACGGGTGCAGGGGGGCGGGGTCTTTGTCGTTTTTGATATTGTCTGTCGACCTCCCTGATGCGTGGCTGCCGTTCATCCTGAGAAACCCCCCGTGGAGTTCCGCAGACTGTATTTTCTCATACGCGTCTCATTCGGGGGGTCGAGGGGATCTGAGCTTTGTGTGTGTGTGTTGGGGGAAATGGGTGATGTCTCACAGAATGTTTCTTTCCAACGCGCTTCTTCCTTTGCGACAGGTATCGTTTTGCAGAGATACGCTATCACCGCCCTGAGGAGACTCACAAAGGGCGGACAGTCCCCGCACATGTGGAGACAGTGGTTTTATTTCTCCCGGATGTTTGGCATTGTCTTCCTACCCGCTCAGAGTGGGAGGGCCTGTCCCGTGGACTCAAGGAGCAGCTGGCAGAGAAACTCTTGGCTGAACGGAAGGAGGCTGATGGAGAACAGGCACTGAACGCTAATCCCTCTCTTCTCATTTCCGCTTCTCACAGGCACAGGAATAGACAAACAAAACACTCAGAAAACACAGAAAGAAACAGACAAGTATCACAGGCATCATACAGAACCCACTTTTACCATCCCACCCTCTCATCCCTTTTACCATCCCACCCTCTCACCCCATTTCCTCCTGCTCTCCCTCTGTCACGCAGTCTCGCACACAGCGGAAGAGCTTAGGTCCTACTTTGACACCTGTCAACTGGTAAAACAGCTTCCAGCTCAGCCGATTGCACGATTGACGGCCGTGATTGAGATAACTCTAAATTTCCTGTTTAATTTCAACAAATCCAAACTGAAAAATTGACGCATGGACCAATGAGACCAATTTGGGAAACGAATGCTGGAATCTGGAGAGCCAGTTGTGTTTATGATGTTTGTGTGGTTTTTTTTAGATCGTTTTGTTTTCCTGTTCAATATCTGCCAAACTCTCTCTGAGTTCTGTCTCTTGTCTGTCTCTTTTTTTATTTTTGTTTTATTTACGCTGTTCTCTGATTGGACTGTGCCTAGACCCTTTGTGGATGTGATTTTTCCAGGGAGGACAGTTCTGGCTAGGCGTTAAAGAAAACAAGCTAAAAAGAGTATACGTGGGCCAAAAAAAGGCAGCAGTAAATGTAGACGTAGGGTTTGGAGACCTTCTCTGAGTGCATCTGTCCCATGTCCATCTTTTGAACCCCCTGTCATTGATTATCTTTTTGTATTCCACAGAACTGGTTGATTGGCTGATGAGTGGGATATGGATCTGTTTCTGAAAGCTAGAGAGCTTCCGTGTATCCTAGCAGTGGATTTTTGTTTTTTACCCAGTCGAGAGCTCAGTAGGAGGAGACAATGAGAGACAGTTGTGACCTTGCTTCTTGCACGGATCAACTTTTGTTTCAGAAAACATCTTTCAGTCTGAGAGTGGTGTGTTAACATGCTGTTTTCTTTTTTCTCTTCTTCTCTCTTTCAAATAACGTGCATAGGAGGAGGATAAGGACGAAGATGATTCAAAGGAAGTCACTACGCCGACTCACTGGTCTAAGCTTGATCCGAAATCCATGAAGGTGAGATTCCCACAAGCAGACTGAACTGTTTTATTTTACATCAATATTCTCTAGGCCTATATTCCATTTGATGGGGTCTTTATATTCTTTATAGACCTATTAAATGCTAAGGTATAGAAAAGCTTGTCCTTTTTTAAAATAACCAATAGTTTTTAGTTTAGTCACAGTCCCTCAAAACTTTATTTTGGACACTTTTTTTTATAGACACTTGATGGTTAAGCAAATGTTTTGGACAATAATATATACCCCTTTGAATAATATACACCACCATTCACTAGTCATTTTTGGAATTAAATTATAATTTATTGCCAAACATGGACACGTTTTTGACATTGATGATAAGTTTTGTGCATTAAATCAGCATATTGGAATGATTTCTGAAGGATCATGTGACACTAAAAACTAGAGTCATTTTTGAATTGTGATAATATTTCACAATATCACAGTTTTTACTGTAATTTGTTTCAATAAATGCAGCCTCGGTGAGCATAAAAGAAAACAATTTAAATCAAAAACATTAAAAAATTGAGTGGTATTGTATTTAATAGAAAGTAACCATTTGATATTAGATTTGATATTTTTGGTACATCTTAACAAGAATTTTAAAATACTCCTCTCCAGGACTGGAAAAATCATTAAACATTGTAAATAAAAAAAAAAAATTCTCTTCTTTAAAATATTTTTGTGCTTGTGTAGAGGAAACCTTGCTCGCAGAACAGCGTTTACATCATCAATCTGTCCATTAATAGTTGTTTAGGACATTTTTGCACTGTTAAGTATAATCATAGTTTCATAGTGTTGTACATGGCATATCTGTATAAAATTGTTTTAAAAAAAAAAACACTTTTAATCAACTGGAATAGCCGTAGGAGAACAACGCATGGAGCGTTCAAAAAGCTGATGAAACGAATTTGCACACAGGTCAATGACTTGCGTAAGGAGTTGGAGAGCCGTTCACTGAGCTCTAAAGGGCTGAAGTCTCAGCTGATCGCTCGCCTCACCAAACAGCTGAAGGTGGAGGAGCAGGTGGAGGAGTCCAAGGAGCCGGAGAAGCCTGAACCTCCTAGTGTGGAGGAGGATGAGTCCTGCAGACTGGAGGATGACCGAGAGGTGAGAGAAGATCAGAGAATCCTGCTCTTATAGAGAGCTTGTCTGATCAATCGCATACAAACATGGAAAAAATATTCCCTTCAGGAAGAGGAACGAAAGCGGCAAGAGGAGCAGGAACGCCAGCGCAGGGAGAAACGTTATGTTCTGCCAGATGAGCCCACCATTATTGTCCATCCCAACTGGGCTGCCAAGAATGGCAAATTTGACTGCAGCATCATGTCCTTGAGTGTGCTGCTGGACTACAGACTGGAGGATAATAAAGAGCACTCCTTTGAGGTGAGTATCACTGCAGAGAGGTAAAATAACATGTTTCTGCATATTAAAGATTTTTTAAATTAATAATTCACCTATAAACTACAAAGTTTTGGGACACTTTGCTTGACTTCACCTGATATAATTACAATATTCTGGTGTCAGATACTCTTTTGTAAATGGTTGCCTATTGCAGTGAAAGGAGGGACTTGACACTCAAGCAATATTCATTCACAAAACATTTTTGTTACTTTAAATAAAATATTAAAGAAAAACAGTTGCTATGTCAGTATTTCTCATTTTCATAATAACTAAAAAATAAAACTTAAATAAAAATGAGTAAAAAACAAACCCACAAAATGACTAAACCTTTACCTTGAAGATTAAAATAAAAAATATTAAAGCTGCAGTCCGTAACTTTTGGCGCTCTAGCAGTTAATAAACAGAACTGCGTGCGTCTTTGTACATTGAAGCTACTTCTCTCCGTTTATGCCTATGACGAATCACGCAGGTACTGGGCTACTCCGCAGCGGTTCCACCAGTACCAGTCTGAAATAGTCCGAATATAAACACTTCTTATAGATGTACCGTAGTGATTCAGGACAAGCCAAAAACACGGTTTGTAAAATGGATTCATGATGTACTCGCTTATTATGTTAATTTTGTACATTTTGAACACACAAAAAGTTACGGACTGTAGCTTTAAATACAAAAACAAAAATCAATACTAAATCAAAAATGAATAAATATTAATAAAACCTTTAGCATTTGTCCAGTGATGCTAAATAACACTGGTCTTTTGGTGTCTGTTTCAGGTGTCTTTGTTTGCTGAATTCTTTAAATAAAATATTAAAGAAAAACAGTTGCTATGTCAGTATTTCTCATTTTCATAATAACTAAAAAATAAAACTTAAATAAAAATGAGTAAAAAACAAACCCACAAAATGACTAAACCTTTACCTTGAAGATTAAAATAAAAAATATTAAAGCTGCAGTCCGTAACTTTTGGCGCTCTAGCAGTTAATAAACAGAACTGCGTGCGTCTTTGTACATTGAAGCTACTTCTCTCCGTTTATGCCTATGACGAATCACGCAGGTACTGGGCTACTCCGCAGCGGTTCCACCAGTACCAGTCTGAAATAGTCCGAATATAAACACTTCTTATAGATGTACCGTAGTGATTCAGGACAAGCCAAAAACACGGTTTGTAAAATGGATTCATGATGTACTCGCTTATTATGTTAATTTTGTACATTTTGAACACACAAAAAGTTACGGACTGTAGCTTTAAATACAAAAACAAAAATCAATACTAAATCAAAAATGAATAAATATTAATAAAACCTTTAGCATTTGTCCAGTGATGCTAAATAACACTGGTCTTTTGGTGTCTGTTTCAGGTGTCTTTGTTTGCTGAATTATTCAATGAGATGCTTCAACGAGACTTCGGCTACAGGATCTACAAAGCAATGGCTTCTCTTCCCAGCAAGGATGAGAGGAAAGATAAAAGAGAGAAAGCTAAAAAAGAGGCAGAAAGGAGGAACGTAAAGAAGAAGGAAGAAGAAAATGGAGAGCCGGCCACAAAGAGAATGAGAGAGGAGGATGAGAAGAGGAAGGTGGGGGAAATAGAGTTTCTACGACAATGAAAAACCTGGAAATATCAGGACTAGTGCCGTCAATCGATAAAATTAATCACACATTTTTTTCTGAAATTAATCGCGATTAATTCCACCTAATATTAAAATTTTTATAATAATTTTTTCATTGCAATAATTTCACATTCAATCTTCAATGTAGAAACAGTATAAAGATAGTATATTTTTAATATTTGTATAATCATTTGTGCATCACTTTTATGACTAAAGGTCAGTATGACGGATACCAATACTACTGATGTCTCTAGGAAATAGTTTTTTTACCCTAACATTTACCCGTTGACTATAGCCATTCAACATTACAGTATAATTGAGAGCTATCAAAATGATCAAATACAAAATTTTAAATTAAATACACTGTAGATGAATCCTTAAAGCTACAAAAGTTATTGATTTCCTTTTTTTTTTTCTTTTTTCTTTTGTTCTTTGATTAACAGACATCACAGCTGGGTTATTAGGTTTTTGGCTGTTATTACTTTAAGAGCCGCTGCTGCTGAACGTGACGTGGATCTGTCATGCATCGTATTTTCTCATTAACTCTTTACATTTTCTGACCTACTTCAGGTCTGAAAATCTCAATAATGAGCTGACGAGTTGAATCGGGTTTGTTAGATGAGGGAGACAGTTTGGAAAACTACTGCATTTCAAAGACATGTTCTTAAATGACTTACACTCATATTTTTGTCAAGAAAACTGAGACAGAATCAGCAGTTGTGAGTGGGGTGGCCAACCCTAGCCCAGCCCCTGCGTTAACTGCGTTAAATATTTTTAACACGTAAATTATTTTTAACGCGTTAAACTGAAAAAATGAATCGCCTGCGTTAACACGCTAATTTTGACAGCACTAATCAGGACATTTTAAAACCGGTGTCCTGGAAGAGTCATGGAAATTATTAAAAGCTTAAAAAGTCATGGACATTTCCATAGCAAATATTGATTGTAGTTACACCTGGTTTAAAACTTGTTTTTTTTTCATGAAAATGTTTATTTGGCATCATGAACAACTGGAAAAGAATCACACTGATTGGTCAGAAAGTGTGGGGACCGTGTTTGGATTGATTCTTTGATTTATGTCTGCATTAAAAGCATTGTGATTTGTTCAAATTAATGCATTTTTTAAAGCTTTTTTTTATATGAATATTTTAATATCTCCTGGGTAAAGGATGAGGAGAAGGAGAGAGGTATTAAGAGAGAAGAATCCAAAGATGATGATGATAATGAAGACGGCGGCAGCAACAACAACGCTGATGAATATGACCCACTGGAGGCAGAAGACGCAGACGACTATGACGACGACGGTAGGGGTCACACTGTTTGCACCTGGATCCTCAAGCACACTTCTGATCCGTTTTGATTCTTTGATCCAGAAACTGATCCTTTGTGCTCCTCAGATAAAGATGATGAAGACTCAAATGGCAGAGACAGAAGAGACGACCGGCGAGATGAGCGGAAGTCCAAAGAGAGGTCATCTAAAGATAAAGTGAGTCAACAACATCTCCTTTTGCAACACAAAGAGTTTCTAATAGTGAGAGGAGTGTAATGCTGTATTATTTCAATCTGTCTGTAGGATGAGAAGAAAAAGCAGATGGTGACGTTTAACCAGGATCTGCTGATGGCCTTTGTGTACTTCGACCAGAGTCACTGCGGCTACCTGCTGGAGAAGGACTTGGAGGAGATCATGTACACGCTGGGCTTGCATCTCTCCAGAGCTCAGGTGCTGCTTCTGTGCAGTGTTGTGTGTTTAGTTGTTACTTGGGAAGGTTTAAGGAGGCTTTAAGTACCATGAATTTACATATACATTTTTAGCAGATGCTTCTATCAAAAGCGACTTACAAATGAGGACAATAGAAGCAATCAAAATCAACAAAAGAGCAATGATATAGAAGTGCTATAACAAGTCTCAGTTAGCTTAACGCAGTACACGTAGCAAGGGTTTTTAAATAATATAATAAATAAAAAGAGCACAAATAGAATAGAAAAATAATAGAGCAAGCTAGTGTTAGAGGCCTTTTTTTGCTTTTGTTGATTGTATTATAAATATTAAAAAAAAAGAAATAGAATGCAAAAAGAATAGAGAAGCTAGTGTTAGTTTGGTTTTTTTTTTTAAGAAAAAAATTTACTCATGATGCTAATATATTAGGAATATATATATTTTTTTCTCCTTGTTTTTTTTAATTCAGTTTAACTATTATATTCTATAATAATAATGATAAATTATAATATAAATGTATTATAGTAATTATAATCATTATAATTATATATTTTATTAATTTATTATCTGATTTAATGTTAATGTTAGATAAAACATTTAAAGTTGTACGAATATATACAGTATATATATATATTAATTATATTAATTATAATACATTTAAAGTTGTACGAATTTGATAAAATAGCAATTATATTAGTTAATAATAAAATTAATAATAATAAATATGAATGTGTTTATTATTACTGGGGTAATAATGATGATGATGATATTAATGTTCAAAGTCAGCAACAACTACTACTACTAATTATTATTATTATTATTATTATTATTATTTTGGATGTAACAATTATACTACTTAATAATAATTTTATTTGTTAAAAATAAAATAAATATGAATATGTTTTTTGTGATACAACTACTACTACTAATTATTATTATTATTATTATTATTATTATTTTGGATGTAACAATTATACTAAATAATAATTTTATTTGTTAAAAATAAAATAAATATGAATATATTTTTTGTGATGATGATATTATTTTCTTTGCTATTGTTTTAATACTAAAATCTGTAATTATATGTATTATTGTTATTATATATTATTATTTTCTTTATTAAATTTAAAAAATATATTTAATTGGTCAATAATAATAATAATAAATATGAGAAAATATAAGCAGTGATGTTTGTTGCTTGACCTTTTAGTTGCATCTTGCTTGATCAGGACACAATGTGTTAACTGTAATTTCTTAGTTGCAAGCATATTTCTAACAGACTAACATATCTTGTTTTTTTTCAGGTGAAGAAATTGTTAAACAAACCATTGGTTAGAGAGTCTTGCCATTATCGAAAGCTAACGGACAGGCCTAAGGACGAGCCTAGCCCCACGTTGACCTCTGATGCTCTGATAGACAACCTTTTAGGTGTGCAAAGAGAGTGATGGCTGGAACTGAGAGGCTTATTCGTAAGACTAGAGTACAGTCCATGACGTTACAGTGGACTGAATCACTCTGTGTGCTTGACAGGTAACCAAAGCTTGCTGCCCAGTCTGAAGTTCAAGCGGGAATCAGAGGACAGCGGCGAGTCGTCTAGCCTAATCGTCTACCAGGGAGCCATGGTGGATGTGGGAAGCATGATGCAGAAGCTGGAGAAGAGTGAGAAAACCCGAGAGGAAATCGAGCAGAAGCTCATGCAGCAGGACATTCAAATGGGTAACAACCTCATTTGTATTATTTTCATTGTATATTTGAATTCGGATTTCAGTGATTTTGTTGATTCAGCTCACTATTTTTGACTTAAAGTCAATATCAAAAATGTGTACTTTTACAATTCATCAGCATACATTTTTCTACCCTCAATACAATTAAATTACTAATCAAACCTTTCTGTTTTGTAGAGGAGGACTCAAAGCAGATAGCCGAGCTAGAAGCAGCAACCCGCAGCCTTCAGAGGGAGCTGGAGGAGGTGAAGAACAATCTCAGAGAGACAGAGAACAACCTGAGAGCCTCAGACCAGCAGAAAGGCAGCTATGAACAACAGCTCCACGGCACAGTGTCCAGCCTCGACACCATCATGAAGGAGCTACAGGGCGTTTTATCACACGTATGAACCTTTATTTGTTTCATCACTGTGTGACCCGGACTCATGAAACTGTAGAATATGGTTTAAATAATAAGTGTCTTGTTTTTAATGCAGGGTGACCCTTCAGATGACGGTGACCAAAAAACTCAATCTAATGGCTCAGATGAGTGAACGTCCCTCTCCAGCTCATCCTCATCTAGTCTCCCTTCAAATGTGTAAATAAGCTTAAAACTAACACAATTCTAAAGCTAATTTTATTTTGATCTTTTTGGGGGGGTTCTGTGTACAAAGTTTTAATGACAGCGGAGGTAAACTCTCTTTTCCTCATAATTCTATATTTGAAAATAATTCTTTGATTTTGAAAAATTATTCTTCAGAATCAAATTATTACACTTAAGTTCAAGTTTAAATAATTTGTTTGATTTGAGTAAACATTTTGGTTGTTAATCCATTTAAGCTTTTTTGGCCTTTTTTTTTTTTTTGCAGAAGTTGCTAGTAATTTTAACTTGTGTTGCTATATCAGCATATTTCATTGTTGAAATAATACATGACTTGTGCCAGTACGTGACTTATTAGCAGAGTTTATTTAGCAATAAAAGTGTTATTTATGTCTAAATCAAATGTTAGAAACAGCAATTCGGATTTTATTAGGACCTATGTGAAGCTGCTTTCTGATATCTTTCATTGTTCCATGACAAACAGTGATCAAAAAACATTTTGTTCTATGTCTTTGGTTTGTTTTGGGTCACATCTGAGCATGCATCTAAATTAGCGCATGCATATCAGCTTGATCCCTGAATAATATTCTTGCAGACTTTTTTTTTTATTTTTTATTTGATTTGATTTGATCTTGATGTTTTGTTCTGTGATCCAAAAAACATTTTGTTCTATGTCTTTGGTTTGTTTTGGGTCACATCTGAGCATGCATCTAAATTAGCGCATGCATATCAGCTTGATTCCTGAATAATATTCTTGCAGACTTTTTTTTTATTTTTTATTTGATTTGATCTGATCTTGATGTTTTGTTCTGTGATCTCTGTGTAATCCTACCAGGGTAGCTTTGTGTGAATGGGGCCATTTCAAACAAAACCAAGGCAGTTACCCTGTTAAAGATGCACAGGCTTGATCTGACTGAGGTCATGTCCATTCAGAGTCCTGCCTGGGTACTTCATATCAGAGTGATTGCAATGTGTGAGTCGGATGCTGTGTGTTTCAGTAGTTTGTTTTGCTGAAATTGTTTGGAAGGCAGTGAATTATTTTTATTTTTATTTTTTGTAAAGTTTTTCCTGTTGTTGACCCACTAAAGATGAGAATGATTACAGTGGGTGGTTTCTGCTGAGTGGAAAAGAGCCAAACCTGATAAAAATGAGCCCAAGGCAGCCAAGTGCATATTATTTTTCTATTCTGGATGTACTCTATGGTTGTCCTGGTAAAAAAAAAGAAATAAAAGTGCGTCATTTTAACATTTCATCCAGTTAAATTTAGAATTTCCCCAATTGTTTTGAATTTACAGGGGTTTTGGGAATTTTGCAGTGCCATTTTTTCCCAGTAGATGGCAACATTTGTTTGATCCGGAGGGATTATGCATGCACTTTTTATGAGGAAAAACAAGCAATGGGTTTAATAAACATATATTCCTTTGGTCACAGACTTTCTTGAATTTCTTGTAACAGTGTAAACTCTTTCAATGATTTTAGTTTGAATGCTGGATGATTTTCTCTGAATAGGGTGAATTGGTGTATTTCTATATCAGCACTGTAGTAGCAGTGGTTTTCTAGTGGGCATGAAATGAAATGGGTCAGCGTTATGCTGACTGACAAGACTGACAATCTGTATTTCTTAAAGGACAGATGTGAAAAGATCTATTGATGTGTAAAAATGTGTGTAAAAAACTATTTTTCTTCTTGTTGCTGCGTTGCCCATGCTAAAAATGTGAAAGGTGTTGAGGTTTCGCTGGTTAGTTTGGCTGCATCCAAAATCATATGCTTATCTACTATATAGTAGGCAAATGTGAAAAGTCTCTGAATGAGGTCACAGGAGAGGAGATTTGACATTGTAGGTAACATAACGGTGACATAAAGATGAATGCAGTATGTCCAGATTAAATACCACCTACATGCATTCTATATAGAACATACTTTTTTTTAAACAGTTGCGAAATAATTACTTATTCAAAAGAAGTACATACTTGGAGTATGTGATTTCGGAAGCAGCCTTAGTTTATTCTTTTTTATAATTACAGACATAAAGCACGTGGGCCATTCAAATAGAATGCATTTAAAAACACAAGATGGAGTGTCATGAAAAAAAGTAGACGCATTTTGGTCAAGCCCTAAGCGCAACCTTAACAGTGGACTACAACTGAACAGTCTAAGGGCCAGGAGTCGGTGCTGTCATGAATTAATTTTCCTGCAGCTCCAGAGTGATTAGTCACATGGCATTTACACGTGGTGTTTAGTTAAAAAAATTAAATAAAAAAACTCTATGCAGAACTTGATGCCCTCAATGATCTATTGAATGGGAATGATAAGATCCAGCAAGTCATAACATGTCCATTTAGGTCTAGTGTAAAGGTGTGGTCACATTAGCAACATTTTGGAGAAAATTAGCTGGCAAAAAGGTCCATTGTCTATTGTCAGTCCTGTAGTGATATTTGAAACACTGCTTAAACAGAAGTCACTTTCAAACCAAGTAGCTTTCTGTTGGTCAACGCTGCAAATTTGTGTGACCAACTTGGTCCTTTTTTTGCAAAATCTGCTGGGGGAAATCCCTTGCCCCCTTGCATAAAATTCCAGAGTGCAAAGATTCTAATTGAAATGACTGGATTTTGCCCATGAAAATTCACAGAACAACAGTAAATGTAACTGTACATTAATTGAATAGTTCATGGGAAAAAAATGTTGCATTACATCACTTGCTCACCAATTGATTCTCTGCAGTGAATGGGTGCCGTCAGAATGACAATAATCCATAATAACATTTCCTTCTGTGAAAAAGTCCATACCCTGTTGTGCTCTCACATCAAAATCCACCAACATATTTGTTTAGAACCGTTTTGGTCTGTTTTTGCTTGTTAACAGTGCTTGGTCTGTGCATATTTCTCTCATGTTTCAGACAAGACTTTGTCACTGGAGAAAGCAATATTATGGATAGAGAGTATTTTAGACAGAAGCAATGGTTTGAGGTTCAAAACATTTAAACAGACCGTCTGTTTGGACTCTCATTCTGACGGCACCCATTCACTGCAGAGGATCCATTGGTGAGCAAGTGATGTAATGCTACAGCTCTCCAAATCTGTTCCAAGTGAAGAAACAAACTCATCTTGAGGATGAGTACATTTTCAGCCCATTTTTTGGTGGGGGGGATTTAATTTATGACAAAATAAAATTTTAGTGAATAACTCTACAGAGGGCCTGTCTACCAACACTTTAACAACAAACATGATCTTAAACCTCACACTTCATGACATGCGATTTCAAAAACGATTAGCACATGAGCACCAGTCACACAGGTTTATGGTCCATCTCTTATGATCTCCACATTGCACTGCAACACTGAAAAGACACTGTATCTGGCCCAGTGTCACTCGGCAGGCCAGCAGCAGGAGCAGGCGGTGTTGTGAAATCAGAGCCGGTGCAGGTAAACCCACTCCTTCCCTGAGACAGAGGGCCTTTGTGCCCACACCTTCCCCCTGCAGTCTGGGTAACACTCACACACTAGAGAGCCATGGGACAATCAGCTTCTCTTTCCTTCAGAGGGCTGGGCAACACTCTCACACTGGACCCACGAACAATCAGCTTATTTGAATTCAAGCTGCGGTGCTTTTTCTTTTCTTTTCTGGGTGGAGAGTTTGGTTGCATCTGTTATAGCAGCATTTGAGGAGAGATTATATTACGACTCTCCCCTCATCTAACAATCACCTCTCTAAACAGAGAGGTCTTCTCATTTTCCTCATTTCAGGACATAACAGCGACTTTCTTAGCAAATGTTGTCCTGTGTATTTAAATGATCAGTGAAGGTGTTGATCGTTCGATGTTTCACCATTTCTCCTTTTGTTTCTGGAAGGCTCCTGTTGTCTGCCGTTCCTGGGTGGCATATAGAGGCTAATGTTTCCCCTTTGTCTGGGGTCAGACCCATTATCCCCTCATCTCTGTCTGAGCTGTGTGTGTCTGTGCTGACATTCGCCTTCCCCTCCCCCTGTTTTCACACAGCTTTGTTTCAGAAGACCCCACACTTTGTACGAGCCCCTCTGCTCCTCCTCCTCCTCACACTATCACTCTTTTCATTGCTCCTGCTGCTCAAAGTCTCACCGCCTTCAACAAGTCACTTGTGCTAAGGTGTAATTATCATGACAATGGAATGTGGTCTCTGGAGACTTTGTGATAGCTTTTCATAACATGTCGTGCTTCTCTGTTTTTGTTAGTATTTGCTTGACTTGAAATAGAATTGACTTAGAAATTCCAAAAGAGGACGTCTGTTCAAAAGTTTAGGGTCAGTAAGAAATTAGTACTTTAATTCAGCACGGAGGCATTTACTTGATCAAAGTGACCCTAAAGACTTAAATGATTTCTATTTCAAATAAATGTTGTTCTTTTGAACTTTCTATTTTTCCAAGAATCATGAAAAATATTGTATCACGGTTTCCACGAACAATATTAAGCTGCACGACTTTTTTCAACATTGATAATAATAAGAAATGTTTCTTGATCAGCAAATCAGCATATTAAAATGATTTCTGAAGGATCATGTGACACTGAAGACTGGAGTGATGCATCACAGGAATAAATTATTACATACAATATATTTTAAAAATATTTTTAAATACAAAATGGTTATTTTTAACTGAAATAATATTTGACAATATTATTGTTTTTTACTGTATTTATTATTTTTTTTAAATAAATGCAGCCTTGGTGAGCATCAAATAATTTTTCTAAAACATTTTAAAAATCTTACTGTCAGGGAGTCTCTGTCACCAGTCACCAGCTCTGGACTCCATACCCCAGAATCCTCCCCGGCTCACACCTGTTCACAGTCACGATCATCACTCACACCAGAAAGGGCTCCGGATCTCCAGTTAAGCCCAGGGAGGGCTCCTGATCCCCCGTTAAGCCCAAGGAGGGCTCCAATCCCCGAGTTCAGCCCCGTAAGTTCCCCCAAAGTGGGGGGGGGGGGGGTAGTAGGGCTCCGGTCGTAGGGCTCCGGTTGTAGAGGTTTGGGCCACGGCCTCAGAGGCAGCGCCGCCATGGCCTCCCGAGCTCCCTGCACCGCCCTGGAGGCTTCCCGTGTCAAGGACCAGCCTCCAGGGTGCCCATCCCCCCCTCCCCGGTGG